GGGACACACCAGGGGAGGGGAGCCAAAGCTGCAGTGTTAATTGCTTCCCAATAAAAGCTAGCCTGGAGCAAGAGCTGAAAGAAAGCACAGGGGAGATTTCCCTTGGTTTAATGATAACTTATCCTGGTCACAGCTCAAATGAAGCTGTTCTCCAGTGCATCAAACCCTTCCCTTTCCTCTGTGCTCACAGCATATTTCTTCTCTCCAACATGTTCATCTTCTTGCCTTTCTCCAAATGTTTTGTCTTCGTGGTCCTGTTCCAACTTGTTCACACCTTCACCAGCCTGCTCCGGCGGGACGTCACCTTGTCCACAGGTGTTCACCAGCTGCTTGAGGAGGGACGTGTCTTCTCCCTGGCCTGGGTGAGGAACCAGGGGTCAACGCAGGCACTGTGGTAAGCACGGGAACAGGACGGGATCTTCAGGAGGTTCCCTTCCTTGTACACTGCCATGCAAATCACACAGGTCTCATATTTGTATCCCTGTTTGCATGTGTGAAGCTTTGTCTCGTGAGTGCTCTTGTACCAGCTTAAGCCAACCATAATTGAGTTGACAGTGGCATAATGACATAGCACATCTCCCTGAAATCCTGCATGATTAAAGTTTCCTGCAGCATTTCAGCATTATCCTGACAAAGACTCAAATAGAAATAGAATTTGGGTGGTAGAAATCTGATTGTGTGGCCCAGTCTCACATTGCAAAGGCCCTTGCAAGTGGAGGAGAACTATTGTCCAGTAAAGAGTGATGGTATCCTAATCAGCTGCTGGATTTCTTTGTCGTCAGCCACCACAGTAATCAGTTGCTCTGAATCCACGTTATACGCGACAGCCACACAGTATCCAGCCTGCTGGGCATGGTGCTGGGCACCTTCTGGACAAAAGAGCAATCATACCCCTGTATTAGTGCAATATATCTCTCGGAGGCCTTTTTTTTTGGTGCTGGAGGGTTGCATGGCAAGCATTCGGTGGTATCATCCTCATTAAATCCCCTGTCAGCCCTTCTGCCGGGGGTCGTGGCCCAAAGCATGCAGGCAGGGCTTTAAAAGCAACACACAGAGAGCTGTCATTGTAACCAAAGACTTCTGCAAGAGCAGCATCGTAGAAGGCAGCAGCATTCACAGAGTGAAGAAGTTGAAGCCAAAGATTCATGCTGAATGCAGTCGGGTATCTCTGAACACAAATTTCCAGCCTAGTACCAAAGGAAAGGTGTAAAAAACAATCACGGGGGTTTCTCACCGTACCGTGACTTGGAGCCACAGCAGGATGAAGATCTGCAGGTTTTCTGTAGGTTTGGAGGTTCCCAGGATAAAACTCATGTCTCTTTTGTCTCCAGCTGATAAGCGACACCCTTACATCATCTCTGCAGATCTGTGACATCACCCAGTGACTGTTTCTCAAGGCTGGGTCATGTAACATTGCTGCCAACCTGCTTAAATCTCTATTCCCCTTCCTTTTTGTTCTGCTCCTTGCACGTATCTTCTGGTTTCGTCTCCCTCTGGGTACCAACCCTCTCTCATTTTGCCAGTGATGTGCAGACAGGATAAATGAGCCTCCCCATCATCTGCGTGCCCGCTGCAGACTGGAATGTTTCATGCTGGTGGCCAAAGCAATTCCTGGAAAACGTGGCAGAGTGGGAACAAGCTGTTAGCCTCTGTCCACTGCTGGGGGGAGGCGTGTGGCAGCTTGGTTTGGTCGGGTGAACACACACTTTTTCCGTAAGCATGATCTTTGAACTGATACCAAGCCAAATAAATTGCTTAGGGTAGAAGGGGTTTGTCATTTGAAATAAGTCAGTCAGCAACTGTCAATCAAAACAGCAGCTAGCAGAAGTTGAGTCTCTTTTTTGCCTGTGTGGCTTCACTCTGCCACTGCCTAAACTTCCGAGAGAGCAGACCCACCTTCAAGGCCCCTGAGTGAGCAACTGGATTTCCTGAGGGGGCTGACACACTTGGGTCTTGCTGGGACTGAGCTTGCTGGATTCCTGTCCTACCACTGTGAGAGTGGGTGGTGGATGAACTTGGGAGGGCTACCATCAACTTTTGCCCTAGGGCTTTTCATCTTATTTACTTTAAAACCTCAGCTGCTGGAAATCAAATGGCTGAAAAAAGACTTCAGCTTCTAGCTATAAAAACCTGATTTTAAAATTCTGGTTATGGTGAAAAAGCTGAAAAAGAAGTGGAAAACATAAGGCACAAGTGTTGTCCTTCCTCCCAGAGTGTTTGACAGCAGAAGCTCCCATCTTTCAGGCAATTCCCAACTCGTATGGTGGCTGCTCAGTGCCCAGAGGAATGCCAGCCTGAGAGACTGCAATATCTCTCCTGGCTGTCAGAATGAACTAGGTCTGAATATGCAATGAACCCAGGTCAGTTCGGAACCACAAATCCCTAAAAACCTGTACCTTTTAACAAACAGCCCTTTTTGTTTAATGATCCACTTGAGAGTTGCCCTGTGGTTTCCAGTGCAGTTGTGTTGGACCTGTAGTTAAAAAATCACTCGTGTGCTAGGCAACTGATTTGTTACTAGCCCCCTTGGGCTCTGCTTGAGACAGATTTCACTGGGAAAAGAGCTACAGAAAATGTCAGTAGACAGTGTGTGTGTGCGCCAGAGACTCCCAGCAGCTGTGATTTCAAATCGATTTTACTTTCCCCTCATCTAAAGAATTTTACACTTGCAGCGAGACATTTTGATGCATTTAAAAACAAAACAAGGAAAAGGTTTGGGGAAGGGGGAGAAGCCAAATGCTTTCTAAGTAGAATGAGAGATGAAGAAAATGGAAGTACGCTGGGAGACCTTTTTCAGGGTGAATTTTTGGTTTGGTCTTAGGCTTCTTGTAATGGCATCCATCATCCTAGTGTTCTTTAAAATCTTTGCCTCTTGCACTCAGTGCTCTATTTCTGCCTCTAGATCAAAGCTTTATGTGCTGGCAGTGACCTGCTGTTTGCATAAGGGGTAGGTCTGTCTTTGGGGCTGGACAAGGACCGAGATGTGGGACCAAGGACCGATCTCCTTTGTGCTCTGTGTGCTGTTATCTCCTGGCTGCTCCAGCACCACCTTTTCTATCCTAGAATTGGCAAGGCAGGAGCGAGCAGCAATCCCGGCCTGCTCACCGAAACCCTTGGATAAAAGGAGAAATCAGGTGTTTGCAGTCTCCAACCTGGATTTCCGTAACTCTTAGCAATAACCCAGGGAGATGTGGGCAAAAGGATGAATCCTCTTCAAGAGAGGCTAGAGGGCAAGAAAGAGGAGAATGGAGTACAGAGAAGGCTCTGGGGAGTTAGGAAAGAGGAAAAGCTGACCTCTGGGTGGGGAGCAGGATACCCATATGCCACCCACAGGCAGTGTGAGATAGCCCTTAGCCTCCTTTGAAAGCTCTGAATGCTTTTGCAGAAGGAAGGAGAGGAGGGCTGAAGAAGGACTTTGGCCAAGATGGTCTTCGCTCAAAGAGCCGAAGTGGTGCCCTGTCTGCGCTGGTTACCTCCACGCTTTCCATTTGCATCACTGCTGTCTGCCTCCTCCATCCTCAGTGCCCTGGAGGCTTTGGCTGCTGCTGGCTGAGGTTAAGCCGAGCATCCCGCCGCGGCGTGGGGCTGTGCCAGGCTGTCTCCAGCCCCATGCTGCATTCATTAGAGCCAGCACTGTCCTATCCTTCTCATCCTGCCCTACTCCATTATATTCATCTGTTAAATACATTGCAGATGCTCCTGGACGTATTCTTGACCCATTTTCTCAGGAGTCCCTGCAATCTACTCTGTTGGAATAATTGCAATTTATTTAAATGTCAACAAGCCACACGTGGGAGACAGCAGTTGTGTGCAAGAACAGAGCAATTACAGGGAACGGGTCCCATTTTACCACTTGAACAGAGATCCAAGCTGGAAGGAAGGAAAAGACCATTTACCTCTATTAACTGATCACTTACCCCACCACTCCCAAAGTCCCCGTGTTCCTTTATACTTCTTCTTTGGACCTGTCAGTGCAGGAGCTAGAATATAAAACCAGCTCTTCCTTTTGCTTGTACTCCACAGAAGTGTCTGCACAAAACAGAGGAATTTAAAGCTGATTTAGACCCACATAACTGCTCGCAGAATCTAAGTCTGGTCCTGCCCAAACAGCTTAAACTGTACCAGAGACGCACGGGAGCCTGACTTATGTAGACATCATTATAACTCCAGCAAAACATGCATTATAGCCTCCAGATCCAACACTGATTTAACTTGGGGAATGAGTCTAGATGGCTTTTTCCCCTTTTTGCAGCATGAAAAGAGCAGCCTGGCAGTAGGATGATGCGAGTTTGTCCATAATCAGACTTCTTGTCCTTTATCTGTATTAGGCTGGCGTCTGGGGTCCACAGGCAGTGGCACTGCACAGACACTCAACAGCCTCTCCCTGCCCTCAGCAGCCAAAGGCCAGGAGCAGAAAAAGCTGATGCGGGGTTAAACGTTTTGCTCAAGACATCTTGGCAGGTATCCCTGGTTCTAGCTTGGTGCCCTTCTTATCAGAGCATGCTGCTCCTTTGGGGTCACGCTATCGGATTAGCGAAGACCAGGCTCCCAGAGCTGAAATACTAGCGATTTGCTGTGGAGGAAGATTTGGGGCCATCTAGTGACCTTCCAGTGAAAACCTTTATGCTTCCAGTGCTCCCAGTTCTTAAAAGAAAGCTATGTGGGACATGCTTCCTCCCCGCTGCTGACTGAGCAAGTCCCCAGCTCCGCAGCGAGCTGCCTGGAAGGCAGACCTGCACCCTGTTGTTAATGATTTCTTTTGCTAGGAGCTGATTTAGAAACTGGTGCATGTAACCACCTCCTTTCATCTAGGATGAAAGGGAAGGATGACCCATGTTTTACAGAATAGATAGCTGAAAGAGCCACCACCCAAAATGCAAGCTGGGTGGATGAGAAATGGAGTTGTGCGTGCGGAGAGGTTTTGTGCCTGGCTGTGTGCTGCTGTGGGAGAGCGGGTTTGTGGGAGGTGGCAAACCCTGCTGTGTGCACCGTCCCCGCCACCATCCCCGCCACGTGTGCTCCTCTGCTCTACCAGGTGCCTCTCCTGGATTTCCCAGGGGTCCAGGCAATCTCCGCTCTGTTATCACCAAGTATAAGCATGATAATCTGGGCCCTAATGCATACAGAAGATTATAAAGCAGTGCTTTATGGACCCGCTACAGAAGTACCCACAATCTGCTAACACCCACAATTAATAAAGGCAGCTGAGGAAATCTGGGCCACCGCAACTTAGTACCCATGTCTAGAAATGAATTCCAGTTCCAGTTGTTTGCCTCGCAACAGAGGGAGACATCTTTATTAGATATAGGTGCTGGAAATAATATCTTGCCTTTTCTACTTTTGGCAAAGTGCCCTACAAGCCTTGGACATAAAGCAAAAATATCATCTCCATTTAGCAGGGTTTTTGTTCTTTTTAACTATCCGCATGCAAAATAAAAAAAAAAATGTAGAGAACTGTGCTTGTTTCGTCAGCCTAGGTTTTGTGGTAAAAATGAGCTGGTAACTGTGGTGATTGGCCCCTTTGGAATGAACCCGTCTGTGCAGGCTTTTGGGAGGGAGAGCTTAAGAAACAGTAAGAGGAGGAGGCATCCAGGGGCTTGGCAAGAGCTAGCCACTGCTTCTGTTCTGTGGTTGTGGCCCTCACAAATCTTGTGGTGTGAAGCAGACCTGTATGTGATCAGCTGCCCAAACTGGGCAGAGCCAAGGCTACGTCTTCAGAATTCCATTTGTCCTTCCAGTCTGTATCCCCCACTCCCACATTTCCATGTTTGTGGGGTTTTTTTCATCCTGTACTGTGCTCAAGCTTCGTGAGAGGCATTGGCTGGAGCTTGGATTTGTAGGGTGAGTGGAAGACAGACCTGGTGGGAATGCGTATGGAGGGGGTGTCTTGATTTTCCACGTGGGAGTTTGGGTGAACCTTCCCGGATTACTCCTGCTCGTTATTGTGGGCACCAAGGGAGATCAACGCTACCGCAGTCACGCTGTACAGGCAGAGCGGGCAGGTCTTGCTCCCGGGCTGAGCGCAGTGCCACAGGTCGATGCACTTGCCGTGGAAAGCATGGGAGCAGGACAGCATCTTCAGCGCCTGGCCGGGCTCACACGCCTGCAGGCAGATGGCACAGTCTTCGGGGTAGCCAGCAGCCCCCC